GGACAGCTATCAGTAATCACAATCTAGACTATATATACATATGACTTACCGTTCGTTCTGCTCGCGATCGCGACGCTCTTCCATCATAGTGTCGCGCATGGAGGAYTGCAGAGCCACATCGACTTTGAGTCGATCGATTTTTGAGTCAATCAGATGATTTTGTCGCTTCATGTCCAGAGTCTTCTGCTTCACCTCATCGATTTTGATATTGCTGAAATCAAAGTTTTATTGCACCACGACTCACATCAGGCAAAGTGGARAACTTACACGCGATCAATCTGCTTTCGGAATATKGCGATTTTCTGCTCTATGATRCGCTCGATGGCGCCGGCTGTCATCATTTTCTGTCGATCGGCCTTCATCTTCTCCCAGTTGCGCAGAATGTTGAGGAACTCGATGGTTATCTTGCACTTCTCGATGGCATCCAGCATGTACTTCAGATAGGATATGTTCGCCTTGTAGAGCTTGTGCTCCCATTCCTTGTAGATCACCTGACGCCGGAAGATCGCCACGCGCTGCATGGACTTTATCTTCTTATTGCCAGCGTCCTGCAAGTAGAGTGAAAATAAATTATTATCAAACTTGCAAATATAATTACATACATATATATATATTCCAATTAGTTACCCTTATCATGCGATTCACGTCATTGATGTCGTCCACGTGCATCAGCACGCTGTTCGCCAACGACTTAACGGAGCCCCCCACCTGCACCTCCACTTGGCCCAGCGTCAAGGTCAACTGCAGCGGCATATTCCTCAAGGCCTCCAGCTGCATAAGGGCAATCGGTAATATTAACTGCAGTTCAAGCATTAGTCCTTCGCTTACTCACATAGCTCTGTATGGTGTCCTCCATTTCCTTTTGGGTGAGCGCCTTCGTCTCCTTCAGGCCGATGATGTCCTTGGTGAGGTTGTTGTTATAGTTCTGGCTATCCACCACCTGATGGCCGAGGCCCTTCAGGCGCAGCTCGCTTTCGATCTTCTGGCGACGCAGCTTCACAAAGGCGTCCCAGGCCTTGGCGTCCACCGAGGAGGGGCAGTTCTTGGGCGCATCATTGTCGGCGATGTAGGCTAGGAAGTCGGAGATCTCTTTGGGCATCGGGAATGTCATACGATTCGGCTGCTTGGGCCCCAGCTTCTGGGCCACTTCACTGCAGATGAGCGATGAGTTGAACAGTTTGTTGGACAGCTTGGGCCGCTTCTTGAAGAGCTTGGTCATCTCGTGGGCGGCATGCGGCACAGTGTTCAGGTAACTGCTGCGGAATTGTCGCTCCAGGGCGCGATCTCGCGTCTGCTGCGCCTCGAGGCGTGCGCGCACATCCTGCGTGGCCCGCTCCCAGAACTCCTGCAAGTTGGTGTAGCGCTTGATGTACTCAGTCAGCTTGTCAATGTCCGCTCGGAGGCCGATGATTTGTTGGCGCAGCTCCGCGCGTGTGCTGTGGATTTTCAACTGGTTGAGCAAGCGAGTGCGGCACTGCTTCTGGGCAAAGTTGAACTTGAGCTTGACCAGCATCAGCTCGGCGATGCGYTGGTTCAGCTTGAGGATTTGCTTCGTCTTCAGCTGCAGCGTTTTGGCTTCGTTCTCATTGAGAATGCGCAGGTATTTGCGACGATCCTCCTGCAGCAGATTGACGGCCTCCTCGTAGGCWCGATAGATCTTCTGATCCTCCAGCGTGTACTCGTGCGGCTGTTTCTTGAGCGTGAACTCTGGCACCGGTATATCCTTCTTGATCTCCTCCTCCCACAGTTTCTCGATGACGCCATCCATCATCACGATCAGAGCTCGGGCCCAGAATTCCACGGACCACAGCAGCAGCCGGCCCCGCTTGCCRCCCATGTCAATGGTCTTCTTTCTGCGCCGATTGATCGCCTTGATCTCGCAGTCATCCACCTCCATGATGCACTTGATGATCTCGTCCTTGGCCAGCTTCGGCACGGTCAGCTCCGGCGGAATAAACGCGTCCATGTACAAAAGCCTCAGCATGCAGTTCATATTGTCGTAGATCTTGATCAGCACGTTATTCGTGTTCAGCACGTTGTCAATCGTTTCCTTCTTCAGCTGCTGTGCCTCGTGGAAGTGCTTGTTGAACTCCACCTTCATGGGATCCACCAGGTAATAGCGGTATTTGGTATTGTCATTATACAGCTGATTCGAGGTGATCGTTTGAATATCCTGCAATCGAAATTGCGGCGCCATGATGTGCTCGTAGACGCTGTGGCCYTCCACCACATARGGCTTCAGTTCGTGCACCGGCGCTTTGGCGCCCTCGGTATCTTCGCCGGAGCCTTGCTCTATCTGGCTGACCTCGTCCTCGATCTCATCCATGGAAATGGCAGAGAGTCGTATGTGATCCTCCAGGTCATAGAAACGATATTTATCAAACTCCACCATGTTCGTTTTTCGCGGCAAAGAGAAGCTCTCAAAGTTGGCATCTGCGAATATCGATCGGACCTTATAGTTAATGTTGACAGCGTCGCGAGTCACCAGCTTCARAATCCAGTCCCGGATGCGCGACTGATCCTCGATGGCGAGCATCAAGGAGGCCCTCTCCAGCTCGCACAGCTTGTGCGCCTCCTCCGTGACGGTRTCCAGCCACTTGTAGTGGAAGCAGAACTTCTTGAAAATGCCCTGCGTCTTGCCCGTCACGGAAATGTCGTAGTCAATCAGCGCCGTCACCTTCGCCGAGAAGTCCTGTATCATCTGCAGCACCTTCTCGCGCTTGAACAGATCCGCATTGGTGTACTCCTCCTTGACCTCCATCTTCAGGGTGAGCGGCAGGAACATGCGTGTCACCAGCGCCGTCTGCTGCACCACAAACTTCTCGGGCACCGGCATTTGAATGTTCTCCCGTATATTATCGGCCAGCGAGGGCAGCCGACTGACCCACATGATATTCTTCGAAGTCAATACCAATAGGTATCTGCAGAGATGAGAGAGACAAAGGAAGATTTTASTAAGGCTCTATGGAGAAATACGCTTAACTATTTCGCATATATAAGATATTAGATGAGATGAAATAAGTGCTGATATGTGAATAAATTAATGACCTATGACGAACACAAAGAAATCGGGCAATC